AACCCCTAGTTCCTGAAAAGGTCATTGGCTTTTGGCAAAGCTCTAAACCTAAAGCTTGAGGAAGTTTTTCTGTGGAGTCTGAACTGAAAACTTTCTCTTCTTGTATCTAACATCTGACTTTTTGAGTTACCTATTCTGGCAAAACTACGGATCTCTGTTAAGGTGTCGTACGTTTGGAGGCTGAACCATGTATCTTCATGTGAGGGTGATTTTGAGCAGTGTTCTGTTTATCCTTGTCTCAGGTGACCTGTTCAGGAACAAAGACTACTATAACTACGACTACACCGACGATGACAATGAAGATGAGACACTCAACGACGGGGAGACAGACAACACGACGACAGGTAACGCGACGTCACTTCCGGTCACGATCAGCAACAACGCCACATCAGCAGTCAACCTGACCTTTGTTCAGTCCAACAACACAGGCACGACTACTCCTAGTGACGACAGCATCGAAACGTCAACAACGAAACAAGATGTCATAGAAGACATATTTGAACTTGTTGACTACGAAGATGTCAAGGACGAGTACGGGACAACCACCACTGGGCGGGGTTTCTCTACTACAAGTCTTCTTGAAGATGGGGATAAGATTGAGGTTGAGGATGACAACGGGACAACAGGTGGAGTCAACAGATCCACCTCCCTACAGTCGGCCACCACGCCAACTATTACTGTGAACGAGAGCTCGTCGTTACCAGGGAAACGGAACGGCAGCTTCCCTGTGTACACCGGGAACAAGAACAAGGGCGATAACATCCACCACCGCCAGGGGGCAGGCCTTCCTGACTCGGACCAGTTGAAGAAAGAAGAACAGATGAATTACTACGCCGTGCTGCTTGGCTGCAGCGGGCTCCTTATAGCAACACTTCTCTATGTTATCTACAAGAACAAGAGGGCGGTAAGTCATTCTTCTGAAACCCGAGATTATAGCAGCATATTCTGTTAAAATTGGAATAGCCGGGTCCTTCTTTTAAAAAGAAAGGCCTAGCTATAGTTCCAGGGCATCATAGATTTGAGACAATGACAGCACTTAGACGGACTGGCCAGTTTCTCTCTCCTTGTTTTGTGATGTTAAAAAATGAGAGTAGTTTTTGTCTATAACTTCTTTACAAATCTCCTTTTTCTCTTTAGCGTATAGAAGTCGCAAGGGACAGTAAAAAAAGTATTTCGTCTTCCACTCGTACAGTATTGATAGGTTCTTGTCTCTGCCCTCCACAGATCGCCATGCTGATAGCGACAGGACGTCGGGAGTACCGCAGCGCGCCCAGGCCCAAGCGGACAGACGGGTACCAACGTCTGGGGCAGCAGGACATCGCTTAGACGCTATCCAAACCTAGATTCAGTCTGCCAAAATGGAGCCAAAAGATTTAATTAAGTCAAGTTCACACAGTTTGTAAGTTTAATTTAATAGCACATCACCCTGACATGTACGACGTTAAACATTGTTGTTTACAATCCTTAGGTAATCCTTACAATTCAATGTATAATTGTCGTTAGACAGCTGTTATTTGGTTAGAAAAGTTGATCAACTGATGAAACATACAAAGAGGACCTTATTTGCATAGTCAGTCGTAAAGAGTATATCATTTGCCGAAGGTATGAGATCGTGGAACTCTTGTTTGTTTTGGCATAAATCCAAAACGATGCTTTTTGTCGAGTGTGGTGACATCACCATTAACATGGAGAAAAGTAATATATGTAATAGAAAATTATGTTTATGGAACAGAATGAGAGATTAAGTTAGAATTCAACGAGAATTTTCAAAGTAAAAACAATCAGGTAAATGATTTCATGGAAAGCTGTTGTACACCTATTAAAACTATTGTAAAATAAGAAACAGCATTCAGGCCGTTTCATATACTTGTCTTTATTCAATGTTGATCCCTTGAAATAAACGATGAGATGAAAGAAATATTTTCTTGAGGTTGAATGATAAGTAAAAGAACAATATTTGTAAAGCAAACTGTTACAAAATAATGGCCACTTTGCCTCATGGCATGGCGATTGTCTACTTCGTTACGATTAATCTAATTTTTTACTTAGTTGATAATTACGAAATATGCAAATCCTGGTGATCCAATATCAGGTGGCAGGACCACGCGGTTTCAAGATGGCGAGTGGGTTTGGAAGGGGCAGAACTCGGCGGATAAATTCGTCTTGAAAGACGCGCTACGTGCGTTTTAGGAGGTGAGTGCCGCTTAACATTGTCCTCTATATTCTCGTAATCATTGTAAGTGAACGTACAGGAACGAAATGAAGCAAAAACACGGAACAGTGTGAATTATTTGCTGCGACGTTGCCCTGGGTTTAATTCTACACTTAGTAAAATGGCCACTGGAAGGCGCCCCTAGGCCTTTGCGTGCCCCGAGATGCTCTTATTGAACGGAAAAAACGATGTAGAAAGTCAGTCAAACTCACTAGGAACCTTCTCATACAATTACGGACATTATATCAAGAACGTGTATTTGAACCGTACTAGTTAAACAGCACCAATGCTAAGTTCAATGGGGTGCATTTCGCATATTAATTACTAGGTGGCGCTTTTAGACCGCGAGAAAAACTGTACCATGCATGCCATGCGTTGTTGTGTTGATTTCAACAACAGCATTTCGTCCTAGTGTCTTCGGTGAACTTCTCGGTGTTTGTAAACCGTTAAATATTGGTATTCCGGGGCCAGCAGCTGGCTGCAGGGACAAGACAGCACCGGGCTTACATTGAGGTAACGTTAATGACAGAATTTTCTATAATGTGGAAGAATGATTAGTTCCTTGGTTTCAGGGTACAAAGCTGAGTGGGAGGGGGGCACAAACTCAATTCTAACTTACAGTTACAAAATAGTGTAACGTTAGAGGACTAAATTAAACTGTTTCTTAATAATAAATAACGTTAACTGATGCGTATTTTCCATCCAGGTTCACATCATTTAACTATTTTACGGTGACTTAGATAATACTTTTGTGTATTAAAGCTCATGCAAATAAAATTCGACCTTGTATCATGAATGACAAGTTGTATGAAAATATGCTGTTTGACAAGACATGGGCTTTCTTGATTTGTACAGGGGAGGTACATCTGGCCCTAGACATGAACCTCTGCTTGTCTGACAGGTAAGTGACATTTTTATAACCAATTGCAAGGAATTTTATTATAAAGTACACATGTAGTTATGTATAACATGTCATAGGACAACATTCACACTGGA